GAAAAAAAGAATTAGAAAACTCACAGTAACGGATAATGGAAAAGAGCCTCTATTCTTCAATGAAGATAACATGGGTCCATTTTACTACAAAATTCCTGTGATACCATGGAGCTCTTCATTGAAACATTAACTGGAAAATGTTTTGAATTAAGAGTTCACCCTTGAGGGAACCAGCAGTTAGCGTAATGGCTATGTTGCTGGACTCCCACATAGTCGACCACGGTTCGTGTCCCAGACCCGGAGGCTTAAAACACCCACACCGGGCGCGTGTGCGTGCGCGTGCGTGCCCAAGATCCCGAGAGGAGAATGGAGGAGAAAGGACTGCAGCGTGACCATCCCCCCTGGGGGGTGATTTCTCACTTTCTGTCTCTATGTCTCTCTCTGTCTGGCGAGCGCACGCACCCTATAGCGAAAACCTCTCAAAAAAAAAAAAAAAGAGTTCACCCTTGGAAGCTGTTATTTCTGTGAAAGCAAAAGTTCAGAGATTGGAAGGTATTCTCAGCTGTGAGCAGCACTTAATTTGGAATAACATCGAACTTGATGATAATTGCTTGAATGATTACATTTCACAAGGTTGCATCTTGAAGCTGGTATGGGCCATGCATTGTGGGCCTATAAATACTAGAAAAGTTCCTATGGAAGACCCACTTAGAGAGATGGTTGAGTTCATGGATCACAGTCAAGATGAGGTCTGGAAGAAGACCTCCCGCAACAAACAAGTTACCTTTCTGGTATACTGAGAAGGAGATCAGTTGAATTTCTTGCGTGTAGTAGACGGGGCAGATGGCACTTTAATATCATTATCTGAATCTTTAAGTGGTGGTTCTGTATATAATTCGTATACTGATGATGATAAAAAAAATTGAGCCTTCTCCTTCTGGGTAACAGATAATTGAAAATTTTGTAACTATGAATAAGATGAAGCTGCTGAAGGCTAAGGTGAACATGAATCTCAGTAAAAGGCCTAAGAAAGCTATCAGGATTAAACCTCATCCACTTATAGCTCCTTGACCTTCCAGTAGTTCTACAGCAGCAGCTCACCACAGGTTGTTAAGAGTCCTCCCTCACATTAGGCAAGCTTGTTCACCTTCTCCTGGGAATCCCTATCCACCTGAACCATTCAAGAATGCAATTTCAACTCAGCATTCTGCTGACAGATCTATATCCTCTATCACTAGTGAATTTCTTTTTTTTTCCTTTTTTTTTTTTTTTGAGAGGTTTTTGCTATAGGGCACGTGTGCTTGCCAGAAAGACAGAGAGAGACAGAGAGATAGAAAGCGAGAAATCACCCCCTAGGGAGGATGGCCATGCCACAATCCCTTCTCCTCCATTCTCCTCTCGGAATCTTGGGCACGCATGCACACGCACCTGGCGTGAGTTTAAGCCACTGGGTCAAGGACTTGAAAGGTGGTCGGCTACATGGGAGTTCAGCGACATAGCCATTACGCTAACTGCTGGTCCCAACTAGTGAATTTCTTAAGGAAGATGATAACTGGGAGAGTAACAACATACTGTCTCATTCCAACAGTAGCATCAAATTACCACCTCAGATACCTCATATGGAGTTTGAAAGTGACAAACAGCTCACTGATTCCATTCTCCATCTTGGATCTTCCATGCCTCGGTGGATAAAACACTTTCCAGGAAATTTGCTATCTAATAATGAGGATGACAGTCTTATTTCCAACTTCAAAAGAATGTGTAACTGAAGAATCACTTCTACCAGAAATGGATTTGTTTGCTTCACATACAGAAGGAAATGCCGAGGAACAAAGCAGTGGCTTAGAAGGTATATGGAAGGTAAATCCAGACTTTGTTTACCAAATCCATGACGCCACTTGCCTGTGTGTTTGGTCACAACAAACCAACATATGGAGGCTCCTGGATTGTAAAAGGAACCTCTTCCACTCCTCCTACTGCTGAAGTGGTTAGGACTCTGTATAAATAAAAAAGTGCTTCTGGGGGGACAAAAATCCAGACTTCTTACTTCCTAACAGTGATAAAGGCTTAAAAACAACAGAGCAGCATCTTAAACACGTTGCAAGAATGTTGAGTGTTGAGTCAGAGGCTTTGGTCCTTAACCACCGTGGTTTAGGTCCTCACGAGAATAGATTCCTGGCACCTCTTCGTTGTTCTGCACCAGGGTCACTACACATAATTCTCGAGTGCAACCAGAGAGTCCAAATATTTTGAGTCTAATAACCTTCAGTCTTTTTTACAAAATGTGCTTTGGTCATTGTTTTCCTGGATGGTTTTCTTACAGTATCAAATATTAGTTCTGGTTCATTATTTAGCTTTTCTTTACAGATTCGAATAATAGATAGGTGAGTCCCTTTCTATCTTCTGTTTCCAAGACTTTCCTCTAACTCCTTCAACTTCATTTCATTCTTGTGAGTTTTTGTCTTTCTTTCTTTTTTTTGAGAGGTTTTTACTATAGTGTGTGTGCACTCGCCTGAAAGAGAGAGAAACAGACAGAAAGCGAGAACAGGACAGAAAACGTGGACAGGTAGACAGATATGCAAAAGGATAGATCTTAAACGGACCAATTATTATGCCCCAAGGGGGAGGGCCACACCACAATCCCTTCTCCATTCTCCTCTTGGGATTTTGGGCGCACACATATGCGCTCAAGTGTTCTCCTCTTTCTTCAATGCCCTTTATTCAATTTTTAAGTCTATTCTCTCTTGGACATCTTGTAATTTAATCTATATTTATTGGATAATATTTTCTGTTCCATTTCTGAGTTCAATCAGCTCTTCTTTCTCTCAAGTTTGTCTATTTCTAGTCTTTATTTTTTCATCCAAGGTGGTTTTGCATATCTTCAAATGCTTGTTTTGAGGCTATTTCGTTGTACTGAGTGTCGTATTACTGCTTTCTTCTGCTTTGTGGCTGTTTTTCCAGAGGACTGTGTGGCTTTTCCTTGGCTGATGTGATGAAATTCATTTGCAGATATTTTGCAATAACTCCATATGAACCTACTAATCTCTTCCTCATCCGTTTTTATCGTATGGGGTGCATTACAAGATCCCTAGGTAATGCATCCTCTTTTGTCAACATTGCAAAGTCCAAGTGCTTCAGTGAATTTGAGAGTTGAGGGAAGTGGTGTGGGTTTTCTGTCATTGTCTTGTAGGATCATGAAGTTTCTCCATTTTTTCCCCCTTCACATCCAAGGGGAACATTTCGCCTTTCCCTTTAGCAAATTTTCTCCCCTAGAATCTGTTTCAAGGCGGTGGCTTCTCATCTCATGTGTACTTTTAAATCCCTTCTGTGTTGTCTAAGCTCGGACCTTCTGCAGACACTCTTTAGCACTTCCAGACTCGGGGAGTTGGGTCCATAATGGGACATGTAAGAATGGCCACTAGTTCTTGTGTGTGTGTTGGGGGGGTGGTGGAGGTCACCTGGTGCCCAGCACTGGAGGAATGAATGGACAAAATGGGATGAATGGCTGGATGCGTGGACAGGTGGACAGATATGCAAAAGGATAGATCTTAAATGGACCAATTATTTTAAACTTAGGCTAAAGATTATACCACCTTCTCCATCTGCAGGCAAAAGGACTGCATTTCTGACTCCCTTACCACTAAGTTTGGTGTGAGAAATCGACTCTACTAGTAAAATGCCCTCTGAAAGATATGAATTGAAGAAACAAGGCCAAGCCTGTTTGCCCTGAAGGCCCAGGCTCAGAGATGCCTCGTCTTTCTGCAACAATATCAGGTCTCTGATTTGTGGGTGCCATGAGAAGTGGTGGCAGGTGGCAACCTCTGTCCTGGGTTCAGGCCCTGTTTTCTAGCTGCTGAAGGATATGTTCTGGAACTCACCAGCTCCAGTGACCTCTGGGGCTTTTTAAGTACCTGATTGAATCTTAAATCTCTTTCCACAGAAAACAGCTGGAGATATTTCTGTTTCCTGGAACTGACCCTTTCCTGGTTCAGCCATGTTTGCCCAGGTGAGAGCAAGTTACAGCCACAACTCAAGTTTGGGACAGGCCTCCTGACTTGACATATGATGGCTCCCACTGTTCTAGGCTCTTCTTGCCTTTCCTAGCCTGCCTCAGTCAGGAGGATCAAGACTGGCTGACAGCGAACCTGTGGACTGGAAGCCTAAGAGGTGGGGGCAGGAGACCCTGCCCCTCCAAAGTAAAGCCTAACATTGTCTTTTCCCTCCTGGCACTGGCGGTGACTTCTGCAGCACCCTGAGGGCTGGCATGGGACACAGGGCGTTGAAGACTCTGATGCTTGCAGAGCTCTGACAGTGTGGTAATGGCACCCTGCCACAGGATGACAACACTATTACCCTGAGTAACCTCAGGAAAATCACTCAATTCCTCTGGCCTACAATTTCCTCATCCGGGGGGCCTGCAGAGCTGTGGTAAGGATGAAATGAGGCAACGTCCATAGAAAGCACTGGCTGGCCACAATGTATCTGAATCCTAAGTGTACTGATTATTTGGAGGGGGGGGAACCTAGAACTAATTTTTCATACCTAGGAGGATTCCTAAGCACTGATTAGGTTTCTTAGGGGATGGGGCTGAGATTTAACCCAGATCATGTGGCCCCATCTCAGTCCCCAAACCTTACTAGCAGGCCCTTTCTGGAGCTGGCTTCAATCAGTGAAACCTAGGGAAGCCCCCCACTCCCTCAAGAAGGGGCCACTTGGCCACTGCAGGCTCCCCTACTCGTCGGCCCATCTTCCTATTAGATCTGAATGCCCTGGGGCAGGGACCCTGAACATCTCGGGAGTGGAAGAGCACTGGCCCACAAGTTAGGGGGCCCAAGTTCTAGCTCCAGCCTCCTTCCTAAATCACTTCAGTGGCCATGGGCAAGACTTTGTAGGAAACAGAGAGCAGTGTTGTTGTTTTTCTTCCTACCTCCTGGGCAGGAAAACTGGGAAGCCCTGTAGTCCTGGGGTTTGGTCTGGATGTTTTCTTAGGGCCTATGACCTATACCTCAGTGAGCCTGCTCCCAACTAGGGCCCCAAAGAAAACCAGCCAGTGAGGGTTGTCAGTGAATGATTTTTTTTTTTTTTAGGAAAGGCATTATAGGCCTGGCCCTTCACCAGCTTCTCTTAAACAAATCTCACAAGAGCCACAGTTCTGCTCCACCTGGCTGCCCCAGGGCTCAGACAGCAGCTGACAGCCCACGAAGGTAGTCCCCTGCTAGTGGTAGCACGGCCCAGTCATCAGTCCGCAGGGCCACGGGCACTCCGTCTGCCTGGGCTGAGTCCAGCTGCAACAGCAGCCTCGAGTCTGGGGGCAGGCGGATTGCTATGCAATACCTGGTGGGGGGCTGGGCCACCACTACAAAAGGCTCCAGGTGGCGGGACACAAAGGGTTTCACACCCTGAGGCCCAAGTGGACACCACACTCGACTCTCAGCACCCTTTGGCAAGCAAGAGTCCCAGAGATCCTCAAAGAAGCTCTGCCTGCTCCCCTCTGGAGGCTGGGGAAAAGGCAGAAAGAGGTCGGCGAAGTTCACAGACAGCGGAGGCAGGTGAGAGTGGCACGTGAGGCCAGTGGGCGTGGTGTAAAGGGCACGGACATCCAGCTGTGCGGGAGCTGGGCACCGGGGCTGTAGCGGCAGGAGCAGAGGTTGGGCAGGGCGGCCAGGGCACAGGCAGGGCACGTGGATAGCTTCCAGAGGTGCATAGAGTTGTCCTTCCACTTGGAAACGCAGCTCCAGAGAGTAGATGGGCTGCAGTACCTCCACCTGGAGCTGCAGCACTGGCAGTGGGCCCTCAGCCCTGCTGGGACCCAGGCTCAGACGAATAGGGGCAGGGGCCTCCTGCACCATCAGCGCTGCAGCAAAGCCCTGATTCTCTGCCACCAGTGAAGAGGCCAGTGCAGGTGCAGCAAGTGAGGGGCCCAGGGCTACCCCCAACTTGGGCCCTGCCAGGTGGGCCAGGAGGATGTAGTAGAGGCGGGCATGGTCACGGCCATCAGGGTCTTCCAGCTGCCTGGCCAGTGCCTGCAGTAAGTCTGCCAGGCCACCACCCCCACTCACTCGCAGCAAGGCCCGGCAGACCCGCAGCAATGCCTGCTGCAGAACCCAGTCAGTGCAGTAGGCAGCAGCATCCTGTAAAAAGCTCAGGGTGGCACTCTGGGAATCCCCATCTACTACCTTTGCCAGCAGCTGCAGATGCCAGCAAAGAGCTTCATCTGTGCCCCTCCTGGACACCACCTCTTGCCACAACATGACCCTCAGGGGCTCCCCCAGCTCAGGACCCACTTGATCTAAGAGGTCCACAAAGTGGGGAGCCAGCACAGGTCGGGCTCGGTACAGTTTGGCCAGTCCGTGGATCAAGGGTGTCAGCACCAGAGGTTGTCCACCCAGGTAGCGAGCAACCAGGTATGAGGCCTGGAAGCATAGAGTGGCCAAGGCCCGGGGACCACCATCCAGGGCTGCCCTCTGCTGCAAGCCAGCCAGCAGCTCCTGCAGGTATCTCTGGGGGGTTTGAATCTGACCTTTCTCCTCTTCCTCGTCCTCGGCACAGAGCAGGCACAGCAAATGGAGGCGCGCCAGGAGAGCCATCGGGTCATGCAGGAGACTGGGTAGAAGGCCGTGGCAGAGCCTGGGGCCTAGCAGCAACGGGGCAGCCTCCTCACCTTCGGGGCCCAGCGGGCAGTTTTCAGGGAAGCTCAGGAGGCAGTGCAGGTAGAAGAGATGGGTGGGTGGGGACAGGGATGGGTGCTGAGCAGCCAGGGTAAGCCGGCGAAGCAGCAAGGCCTCATCCTGGGCTGTGAACAGTGCCTCCCCAAAGGCTGCCTTGAGTGCGAGAACAGCGTGCAGCAGGGTCAGCTGTGCTGTGCCCAGGAGCCGTACCAGCTGAGGCTTGAAGAGTGCTGGGGGCTGTCCTCGCAAACCCCGCAGGGCCCAGCCCAGCAGCCACAGAAGCTGGGCCTGAGCCACAGGAGTGAGCAGGTAGGAAGTGTCCAGAAGCTGGGCCACTGCAGCCCTCAGCTCTTTGGCCTCCTCAAGGCTTGGCTCCAGCGCTGCAGCACCACACTCCCTCTCAGCAGCTGGCCAACTAGGTATCTGGGGCTGAAGGTGGGTGTCATCCTCAGTTAATGTCCAGTCCCAGGGACCGCTTCCAGTGGGGAAGACCTTCGTCATGAGCAGGCCTTGCAGGCCAGCCCCAGCCCTGGACTGTAGCACCAAGGTGTTGCGCAGGGCAAGAGCCAGCAGCAGGCTGAGTGGCTGGACCGGGCCCTCCTGCCCCAGCAGGCTCCGCAGCAGCCCCAGCGAGCCTCCCAGCAGCCCAGGCTTACAACTCTCCAGCTCTCGCAGGCACTCACACGCAGTGGCCTGCAGGGGCCGCTGTTCTGAGGTGGGCCCAAAGCCTCTTCCCAGATCTCGGCCCATGGCCAAGCCGAGCAGCAGGGGAAGAAGCCGACAGGAGGCTTCTGAGGTGGGGCCTAGTGCACCCCCTACCGCCAATGCCGTGGTGGCTGCCAGCAATAGGGGTCGCCGGAGGGCTGAGGGCCGCGGGGGTAAGAGGACCAGGGTGTCCAACAGAGAGGTGGCAGCAGCTTCTGCTGTTGCAGCGTCAGGCCACAGCTGGGCAGGGTATTCCAGGCTGAGGGCCAGCAAGGAAACCTGGGATGGAGAATTTAAAAGGAAATTACGAAGATGAAGCTCTGTGCGGGCTGGGGTGAACACACGGGCCAGAGCAGGAGACACTTGTAGGCCTACCTTGGTCTGCTCGCTCAGCTTCTCACTCCTCAGGTCACTTAGCAAGTCGCGACCCAAATCCTCCCCCTCGGGACCTGCCATGGAGGTGGACGGACTAGCCCGGAAGGCGCTCAGGCGCTGGGCCCAGGCTTCCCGGCTCAGGGGCCCCATGGTGAGGAACTCAGGTCCCTGCAAAGACGAGGGCGCGTCAGGCCAGCGGCCGGCGGCGGCTGCGAGAACGCATGGAGTCCCGCACCCGCCAGAGGGCGCCTGAGCCCTGAGCCATTCCCGAAGGAGCTACCGTCACCCCAGGGTCGTCTCAAAGATGCCGACAGAGACCCCCTCACTCGGCTCGCCAGAGGAAACCAAGAAGTTTCGGGGGTGACGCCGGGGCGGGCCTCCAGATCCAGGAGCTCTGGCGAGCAGGGGCGGGGGCACTGGGCGGGCCCCGGCGCGGTGCGTGCAGAGAGCTCATTAGGACGCCCGCCCGCGCGTCCGCGGCCGGCACCGAAACCACAACGCCGCCCGGGCCCCCGGCGCCCGCT